GGCTGGCAGGCCAGGCAGAAGCCGTCCACGGGCGAGCAGGGCTGGCTGCGCTTGCAGCTCCCGCAGCTGCACGGGCAGAAGGGCAGTGAGGCCTCGATGCCCACCCCCCAGCCCCCCCAGAAAGGCAGCTTTCGCCCCACAACAGCATTGAGCATCCGTTTGGACCATGGGGAAATCCCCTATAGTGCCTAACACTGCCTAGTAGCAAGAGGGCAGGAGGCAAGCAGGAAGAGATGCTGCTTTATCACCCTGGGGAGCAGGACCAAGGATGACCGGATTTTAGGGTGACACCAGCGCTTTGTGCTGGCGTTAGTGAGATGTTTCTTTTCCTAGAATCACAAAATACCAGGTCAGAAGGGACCTCAAGGATCATCTGGTCCAACTTTTCTTGGCAAAAGCACTGTCTAGACAAGATGTCCCAGCACCCTGTCCAGCTGAATCTTAAAAGTGTCCAATGTTGGGGAATCCACCGCTTCCCTGGAGAGATTATTCCAGTGGCTGATTGTTCTCACTGTGAAAAATTTTCCTCTTGTGCCCATTCGGAATCTCCCCAGGAGTAACTTGTACCTGTGACCCCTCGTCTCTTCCATGTAACTCCTCGTAAAAAGGGGAGTCTGCATCTTCTTTGTAGCCACCCTTTAAATACTGGCACAATGCCTTTGGGGCAACACTGGTGCTGCATCCAACCAGGGACGCTCAAACCCCCCAGGACGAGTCTCCCTGCCCAGCCAAAGGGACACACACAACCGTGATGACTTCCCCCCGCTCCGGGATCCAGCTGCGGCCCCTGGGTACCCACTGGATCCCCCCGCTGTCCCCAGCTCACCTGTGCACGCACTGAGATCCGTATTTCCCCGCCGGACAGGGATCCCGGCAGCTCCTGCCCTGGTAGCCGGGGCTGCAGCTGCAATGCCCGCTGAGGGGGCTGCAGGAGCCGTGCAAGCAGTCGCAGCGCCGCTGGCACGCCGGCCCCCAAAACCCAGCCTTGCATTCACACTTGCCCGTCTCCTGGGCGCAGGGCGAGAGGTTGCAGGAGCATTTGAAGCTGCACCTCCTGCCCCACCAGCCCGGCAGGCAGCGGCAGTGGCCGGTGAGCGGGTCGCAGTGGGAGCTGGCGGGGTTGCACTGACATTGCTTTTTGCAGGTGGGTGCCCACCAGCCCGGCTCGCAGTGGCAGGCGCCGGTGAGGGGGTCGCAGCGGCCGCGGGGGCCGCACTGGCAGGGGAACTGGCAGAGCTCTCCCCAGTGGTTTTGGTCGCAGGTGCAGCGCCCGCTCGCCGGGTCGCAGCGCCCGTTGGGGTGGCACGGGCAGCTCCGCTTGCAGTCGGGACCCCAGTACTGCTCGGGGCAGCCTACAAAGAGAAGGAGATGGCGAGGATGGGGGGTGACCGGGAAGCCCAGCAGCCCCCTCCTCACCCCTCTCCGAGCATCCAGGCTGGTGAAGGGGACGGCGAGGGCTGAGCCCCAGGAAAATACTCACGGGAACTGCAGTCGGCTCCGAAGAAGCCGGGTTTGCAGAGGCAAACCCCAGGTTTCACGCACACCTCATCCGCCCCACAGGCGTCCTCCCCCTCGCACAGTGCTGTCGGTGGCAGGGCGGGCACATCAGCGCACGGCGGCCCCCCCTCCCGCCCCCGGGCTCACACCCCGACCACGTCCCGCAGAGGCAGCCTTCCTGGGAAACCACCATCCCACTTCCCGCTCCATCCCTCTGGCCGAGCCACAGCACCGGCAGCAGCTTGCTCGGTGGGCGTTTGGGGGGGGTCCCCATGGTGCAGCACCCCATCGCCATCGCTCAAGGAGAGCTGTAGGGCTTCCCCCCGAGCTTTGGGCTTTGACACCATCCCTCACTCACTCACCAGCCGTGCACTCCCGTCCTTCCTGCTTCCAGCCCGGGCAGCACTCGGGGCCGGTGGGGAGCCTGGGGGAGAGACCCGGGGGCCGTCAGCCGGGGTGGGGGGTCCCGGGGCTGAGGCGGGTTCCCATGTGGCTTCACGGCTGTGGTGAAGCGAACGCTTGCCCCGGCTGGGCCCGGCGGGCAGGGAGGTGGTTGCGGCCCCAAGGGCATCGCTCCGGAAGGAAATCAGTAAAATAGAAGGAAATTTAAGAGGCTGCAGCTCCAGTGGGCAGCGGGGCTCAGCGGTGGGGCAGGCCTGCCCGGCTCGGCCGCTACGGAGCCCACCTGGGTCTCCCCACGCTCTGGGAGTGGCTCAAAGCTTTGCCCTCGACCCAGAGCAAAGGCACCAAAGCGAAGGCAACGAAAGGCGCTGCCATCCATGGCGAGACCAATGGGAGAGGCAACGTAGCAGCAAAGTGGAGGGAACATCAGCTCCAAAAGCCCTGTGGGTTTTCCTACGCCTTCGTTTCCCACCTGGTGCAGGATGAAAGTTTTGCCAACACTTCCGCATCCCCCCGTTGCCCTGCGGACTGGGGGTACATAAGAAATAACTCCTGGAGAAAGGGTCTGGGTGCCTGAAATGCCAACGCGTGCCCCAGCCACACTTCCCAGCATCACCCCAGTCTCTGCACCCACACAATGCCAGGCTGCAGAGCTCCGTCCATGGGAGGACAGATGGACGATGTCCCCCTGGGGTTGATAAAAGGCCCCAGGAGATGGAGGGGCACGAGTGGGGACCCCCATGGCACCTACCTGCAGACGTTCCTGCCATCGGAGTCGAGCTCCTGGGCAGAGCTCTGCACCCACAGCCACAGCTGGAGGCAGAGGATGGGCCGGGCGCTCCCCATCCCAGCGGGGTGTGGGGGACCAAGTCCCGGCTGCTCCCCAGCTCCGCGCCACCGTCCGTCTGTCCTGTCCCTCCCGCAGTGCGGCCTCTTCCTCCTGCCAGCCTTGGGTTTCTTCCTGAGGAAACGCGGGAGGGAGGAGGCGCCCCGATCTAGACGTCAGGGGTGTGGCGGGGAGGGGGAGGCAGGGAATGCCGCTGCATGGGCTATTTTTGGCCCTTGCTGCCACCCTAGCAGCTGAAACGGGCGTCCAGGGGCTCGGCGCAGCCGGGCAGGGGCTGGTGTCTGCTTGAACATCTCACCCGCGGTCGTCCCGTTCCCCCTGTGCCATCCTCCATCATCCCCAAAGCTGTTTTAGCCAACATCCCCCCAACCCACATCAGGCATCTGCTGCCTCCTCCTGCTCCGACCCCCACGAGCCGCCCCTGCCAGGGGCTGAGAAATGGGGTCCCCACGTCCCCCACGGGGACAGGGTGTGCCTTCAGGCTGGCCTTTGAACCGCTGCTGGCTGCCATCCCACCTCGCAGTCTCCCCTGGAGCTTTGTGTCAGCAGATGCACAGGAAACACCTTTTTCCTACCCAAGGCCAGCTCGGCTGGGGGTGCCCCGGGCTGGAAACGCGCTGCTCCCCCAGCCATGCAGGACTTAACTCCATCGCGCCCAGCGCTGCAGCCCCTACAGCCCCGCTCCTCATTGCAGCTGAGCCCCAAAAGGGGCTCCGGGGTCCGGCACACAGCGCAGCCAGCCACAGCCCACTGCCTCGGCCCACGAAAAGCGATGGCTACAGTGGAGATGTGGGATGGAAGCCCAGCAGCATCACCCAGCCCTTCCCGAGCAAGGAGAAAGCAGAGGCTGCAGTGAGCACCTTGGAGGAGAAATGAGAGACTGATTTATTTCCAACTCCAGTTCTAGAGCTAGAAAGTACCTGACTGAGGGGACCAACTTGCCCCCATGAACATGAGGATTGTTCCAGTTTTCCAGTAGCAGGGAGAGGTTCCAGTACAAAACTAATTCACCCCACACCTAAAAAGTGCAGGAGTGGCACTTGTGGTGCTGACCCCGAGTGCTCCCAGCCACGGGAGCACCCAGACATCTGGTGCAGCGTGTTCAGCCCCTCCCAGCCACGCAGTGACCCCGGGACAGCACCCAGGAGCCTGGCCTGGGCACCCCAACTCAACCTTCACATTGTAGGGATGGGGGGAGATATGAACGGAAAGGGGTGTAGTGAAATACCCCCACAGGGCAGGATCAGGGCTGTGAGCAGAGGTGCTTGGCAGAAAGAGCCACCAGCAGACGGGAAGAGCTCTTTGGGGTGCAGCAGTGGGAAGAGGGTGCAGACCCCCACCGCATGGGGAGCAGGGCAGGGCTGTGTAGGACTCCCATAATTAAGCCATGGGCACAACAAAAGGGTGGCTGGTGGGCAGAGATGCCCAGAGGTGCTGAGCCGTCCCGTGCCAGGTCAGCACCCCCTGGCCAAGTGTCCCGGGCGGTGAGGAGGAAGGCTGCCCACGCTGCGGCTTCACCGTCACCACGGCCCGGGGAAGCGGCCAGGGCTGCCGTGCTGCTCTCAAAGACGCCGTACGAGGAGGAGCCGGGAAGTGCTGCTGCGAGGCCAGATCCAGCTCCCGCTCAGGGGGGGTCAGAGGGGCAGCGTGGTTCTGTCGGGGGAGCCGGCCGCCGGCTCGCTCTCTCCCTCCGGCTCCAGCTGCGTGTCCAGTGAATCGATGATTTCCCAGGCTCCGGAGCAGCTGGGTGTGGAGGGGTCTTTGTTGCTGTCCTGATACCACAGCCCAAAACTGCCAAGAGAGCAGATAACGGCTGTGGGGGAGAAGAGCTTTCCCAGGGAAGCAGCCGGATCCCAACCTCCCTCTGTGTTTGGTGGCAGCAGCAGGACGCAGCCCGGCTGCAAGCCCCTGGGAACGTGCGGAACGTCCTGGACCTGCCCAGGACAAGGCAGATCCCCCCCAACCCTCTGGAACCGAGCGACCCCCCTTCAGCAGCATCCCTGCCAGCCCTGCGCTGGGCAGCCTGTCTTCATCCCCATCACACTGTGCAGGGCAGGCACCAAGCTCAGCAGGCGCTGGGTCCACAGCCGAGCCCCAAAACTCCTTTCCGCCGGCAGAGCCGCCCGTCCCCACCAGCACGCGAGGGTGGGAGCAAACTTACAAGCTCCTAATTTTGGATTCAGGAGGTTGAGCGTCCACACAGTCTGTGACGCGAGCTGGGAGCCAGGAGCCCTCATCTTCATCACTGCAGCACAAGGGAGTGGGGGAAAAACCTGCATGGAGTCACAGGCTCACGGCAGCAGCGAGTGCCGGAGCCACCCCAGGGCTCCATCCTGAGCGGAGCAGCGTCCCCCGCAGAGCCACACGTGCGGAGGTGGCTGCAGAGCCAGGGGCACCTGGACCGGGGCCACTGTCCCCTGAAGCACCGGTGGGCTGTGACCTGCCACAAGGCCACAGCGATGCTCATGTCCCAGATACAGCCATGTTTCATGGCAAGCCCAGCCCCAGCTTAGCGATCTCAAGCCACGAAGCTCTCGTGACACCGGCTTCAAACCCCTGGTGCTTGCTCAGCGGACAGCGTGTCCCCGGTTGCCGCAACTGCAGAAGCCACAACCTGCTTTAGAGTCTGCAGGCACCTCGCCCCACACGGCAAGCGCACGCTTCTGTGGGCGACCACAGGCTGCGGCTCGGGGCCGAGGCGGGTGACGTCCTGGCACCAAGGCGAGTGGCAGCCAGGCCTCACAGGGAAGCGGGGAACACGTGAGAGACAAGTGCAGGGCACACACGCTGGGCAGGGAGGTGAGCAGGCAGGACTCAACACCCCCAGACCCCCCGCTGCCAGCAGAGACCCCAAGGCAAGCAAGCAGCAGGTTTCAGTAGCACAAGAGCTCAGGCCCCTTCAGACCTTTATTAAAGCCCCTAAAAACCAAGGAGATGCAGTTCCCCTTGTGCCATACAGCAGCTTTAGCACAGGCTTCACCCCCCCGCTGCTGGCAGACATGCAGAGCTGGGGCTGGTGCCCAGCAGCGTCCTCCCCCCACATTGTGGGACATCTGTTGGAGCCAACACTGCCCACCGACGTCTTGCAGAGCCTCCGGGGACCACCTCTACTGTCATCTTCAAAGGCTCCTCCACTGCACAGCCTCTAACCATACAGCACGGGGACCAGCCTGCCGTGCCCAGTGGTCACAGTGCCACCACCTCGCCTCCCTTTTGCCACATCCACGCAGGGACGAGTGGCATTTGGCCAGGCCGTGTGTGACTGGTGACAGGGACATGCGAGTTGCAGCAAAGAGCCCAGCCCCTGCAGCGCTCCCAGGGCGAAGCCAGAGCCAGACATCAACTGCAGACATTAAACCTTTGATCTCTAGAGGGAGGAGGCAGCTCTTGGCCTGAGGGAAATCCCTTCCAGAGCGTCATGTCACACCACACGGAAACACCAGAGCCCGCCAGCCGGCATCCACCCTGCACGGGAGGCTCCCCGACCTTCCTCCCAGTGAGGAGGACTCACCTGCTCGCCGACTCCTCTGCTGTTCCCAGCATTTTGGCTCTGATTTTTTTTCTCTGTCTTTTGACAGTCGACTTCATCGCATCCAAGAAGAAGCTGGGAACCCTCTCTTTGTTCAGCAGCTCCCTGGGGAAAAGCAGCCAGCTGGTTAACCAAGAGCCTGGCAAAGAAATCCGCCCCGACAGCAGCCTCTGATGGGCCACGGGTGGCTGCAGGGATGGGAGGGACCCGGCTCGCTGTCCCACGCCAGCGCGGCAGGACTCACCGCTGGTAATAGGCCAGCTCCTCCTGCACCAGGAACAGGTTGGTCTTGAGCTCGTTCCGCTCTTGCAGGATCTGCTGCAGCTCTTCCCTGGAGAAGCAGCAGTGAGTGGGGCTCCCGCCCGTGTCCTGGTGCTGTGGCTCCTCTGCGGGCGACGGCGCTCCTTCCTGGGGGGGGGGGACAGAAGGCGTCAGCCGGCAAGCAGAGACCCCAAAGCCCCCACCCAAATGCTGGGTGACGCATGCAGGCAGATGGAAAAGTCTCAGGAATGAGTTTGCTCAGGAATGGAGCTGCTGCAGCCCTTCACGGACCACGCTGGCTCCCCAGCTCAGCCGTCACCACATGTGCCAAACCCTCCTCACCCTCCGAGTCCCACCTGGCTTTTCCTCCCGTCACCTCGCCTTGCTCATTCCCACCTCCACCCCTGCTAATTTTTACAGACAAGGCGGACCAGCGTCGCAGACGCTGCACTGTCCAATTTTCAGCAGCGGGGCTCACTCGAGCGGCCGTGTCCTGCCGGCAGCCGGCGGGTCCGGGCGCACCAGAAGCCCCGCACAGGGCCGGGAAGGTCGGGTCGGTGTCAGCGATGCCCTGCAGCAGCGGGACCATGGACTCCAGCTCACCAGGCTGGTCTTCGGCTGCTGGATTTCAGAGGTGGTCCTGCTCCTCCTGCTCGTTTCCTTCTGGGTTTGCAGCATCGCGGCCTCCAGGTCTGCCTTCCTCTCCAGTGTGCTCTTGAGCTGAGCCTGCACCACGGCCACCTTGTGACGCAGCTCCTCGTTCATGGCCATGAAGCGATGCAGTTGCTCCTGCAGCTGGAGGGCCCGGGGGCAGCGGAGAGTGAGGCAGAGCCACCGCTCCGGGCCCCCAGCCCAGACAGAGCCACGGGAAAGGCACCTGCCCCAGCAGGCTCCCAGCCTCCACGACAGCCCCAGGGGGAGGTGACGTGAAAGCAGGTCCCCAGGCCCTTCACACACCACACCCGCGAGCTCACCGCCTCAGTGTCTCGGCTCTTGCAGACGATCTCGTGAGCCTGGGCACGAAGCTCATCCCTCTGTTTGTCCACCACCTCCTTCAGCCGCAGCATCACCTCCCGCTCCTTCCGCGCTGTGCTACCTGTGCCCAGACACGGGGCGGGACAGGCGTGAGCGGCCCCTGGGACCCAAGGGCTCGCCTGACTCTACAACACCATGGGGTCTCAATGCTTCTGCAAAGCATCGTTCTACCATCGTTCCTGATAGGCAGCAGAGTAGGAACAGTGGAAGGAGGGAGCTGAGAGCTTTCGGCTGTGCCCAACGCATCCTTGTGCAGGCAATGACAGCCCAGACCCTGTTCCTGCCCGCCCCGGGTGCTCAGGGAGTTTGGGATCCCTGTGGCTTGCAGAACAAGACAGCACTTGTGCTACCCAGTAAGACCAGTCTCCAGGGCTGGGCAGCACGGAGAGCAAGTTCAGACCTGCACCCAGTCTGTTGTCCCCCATGAGAACACCCCATGGTGGCAGGGGACCCCGAACCTGCCGGGACACCCACCTTCCTGGGACTGGCTCTCCGCAAGCTGCCCCAGGAGCTGCTGGTTCTGCTCCTCCAGGCGGGCCAGGCAGCCGTGCAGGGCTCGCTCCCGGCACTCGGCCTCCCACAGCCTCCGCTCCAGCTCCTGGGGGACAGGGACAGCCGGGTCAGAGCCATCCCAAGGGGACGAGGACAGCCGGGCCGGAGCCATCCCAAGGGATGGGGACAGCCGGGTCGGGGCCATCCCAAGGGGACGGGGACAGCCGGGTCGGAGCCATCCCAAGGGATGGGGACAGCCGGGCCGGAGCCATCCCAAGGGGACGGGGACAGCCGGGTCGGAGCCATCCCAAGGGGACGGGGACAGCCGGGTCGGAGCCATCCCAAGGGGATGGGGCAGCCGGGTCGGAGCCATCCCAAGGGGACGAGGACAGCGGGGTCGGAGCCATCCCAAGGGATGGGGACAGCCGGGTCGGAGCCATCCCAAGGGGATGGGGACAGCCGGGTCAGAGCTGTCCCCCCGGGGACTCCTGTGAGGACTAGTGTCGGTCAGTGCCACCACGGCGGGAACCCCGAAGGAAGAACGGTCGGACGAGCCCGAGCCCGAGCCCCCCCCGCGCCCCGCTCACCTCCACGTCCTGCCGCCCGGCCGCCGGTCCCGCCGCCTCCCCCTCGGCGCCCGCCGGGGCCACCAGCGCCTCCAGCAGCTCCAGCAGCCGCACGACGGGCGGCACCAGCCCGGCCACGGCCTCGGGCCCGAAGCGGCCGGAGAGGCGGCGCAGCTCGGCCCCCAGCGCCCCGGCCATGCGGTAAACGTGCGGCGGGGCCAGGCGGCCCGGGGGCATCCGCCACAGCGGCTCCGCTCCCCGCCCCGGCTCCGCCATCGGCCGCCGCCGCCGCCGCCCGGGGCCCCGCACACGCTCCGCCCCGGCCCCGGGACCGCCCCCCCCCTCCCTCCCACGCCCCCCCGAGGCGGGATTTGAACGGCAGCGCTCCCGTTCGTAAAAAATTTATTGAGCCACTCGGATAAGGTACAACAAGAGGGGGGTGAGGGGGGCAAAAGGGGCGACGTGGGCAGGTGGAGGGGGCGAGGAGCTGCGGGACACACACACACACACACACACACACACACACACACACACAGAGGCTGTTGAATATCAACAGTACTAAGAGGTGGGGGCAAGGACTAGGCGTAAAGATCCTCTCGGTCGGCGGAGTAGACCTCCCCCTCCTGCAGCAGGGCAAAGTTGAGGAAGTGGGAGGGGCGGTGGACCTCGTGGTAAAACTCCTTGGGGTTGGCGAGCTGCAGCTCGTACTTCATGTTGGGGTCGTGGCGAACACCTGGAAGAGCGAGTCCATCACCCCCTGAACGCCCCCCTCCTGCCTCCACCATTGATCAGGACATGAGTGAAGCCCTCCACCCCCACGAGGCGATTTTTAAGCAAACTGTGCTAAAAGAGAGAATTCTAAATGCACAAAATCATCACCCTTTGGGCTCCTTGCCCTAGAGATTTACAGAGCAATACCCCCATCGCCCTATTCTGCTGGCCAAGGGTTTTGCCTGCCCCTCTCCTCCTTTCCTGATCCCTTCTGCAGCTCTCGCTGGTTCATGGCACCAGAACCTCCTGGTATTCCCTGCCTGGGCACAGCTTTTCACTTGCATTTTCCATTATCGCCTCTTCTGCCTGACAGGGATTAATTATTCAGCAGCAATCACCCAGACACTACAATTCAGAAAGACATCTACTTCTCCCCTCTCCCAGAGTTTGCTCTCTGGCCACTGAAAAAATCATTGAGAACTGATATCCCAGTGCTGGAACCCAGGAAAGGTCAGCCCATAATACTGGTATCCCTGCCAGCTGCTCCCAGGAGGGTCAAGCTCCGGAATGGGTAGGGAACTCTTCCCCAAGGAGCCATTTCCTTCTCCTCCCCAACCTCTTCCCCCTGCTTCCCTTGCTGGGGCAGCTCACCCATGAAGTTGTAGTTCCAGGACCCTTGCGCTGGGACCATGAAGAAGCCGAGGAAGCGATCCGACAGCAGCATCTGCACCCTCTCGTAGTGGGATGGCAGGTAGCCCTTGGGGTTGTTCCCCTTGTCCGTGTTCTGCCTGCCCCACTCGTAGCCGCTCGGGGTCAGTTTGTAGGCTGTCAGCGTGCAGGAGCCTGGCGTGAAACTGAAGGAGAGCAGAGAGATGGGGCAAAACCAGAAACGAGCAAACACTCCCTTTCTGCCAAACGTTGCGACTTTTGACGTCTTCCCAAGCACTGCACACCCAGCCCCCCTCAGCAGCGGGGGCACACAGAAGCCTCCCTGCCTCTCACCTGCAGGTGATGATGATGGTCTTCTCCCCATCCCAGGAGGGGTTGTCAGCCATGACCTTGGCGTGGGTGGTGACATCCTGCGGTGAGAGCTGAGGGGACTCATTGGGTTGGGTGTGAATCCACCCCAGAGGTTCCATTTCCTGACAAAAAGAGTGGTTTAGAGAGAAACAAAAAGGTATTTAAAACAAAATCGCTTCAAGCGTGGCAGAAAGCACACACTGACCAAAGGCTTCCCCTTCACCTGATCAGGGTGGCTTCAGGCTGAGCCCTTTCAGTCCCACAGCTCCAACAGACTGAGGGAAGCTGCCCCACCACCTCAGGCCCCCGTTACTGCAGATGGTGACTCTTCCACCCACACCGGGAGCAGAAGCTCAGCTCACCTTGAGATATTCATGCTGGGGTAGCTGCCCCGGGAGATGCACAGTCTGGTGCGTTCCCCACTGGGGCACCATCACAATGCACCGGATCTCCTTCACCTGGGGGTTATCGGGAGGGCTCACTCCATACAGGTAACCCGCAATCTGGGAACACAAACACCCACCTCAGAAGCCCAGAAGAGAGTTTCCCTCCCGCCCGCCGCCCCCGCCCCCAGTCTGGACCACGAGGAGCCATCAGGACCTGGCTAGAACTCGTGTGCTCAGCCGTGCTGCCAGTGTCTGTCCTGAGCACAGAGGGTTTCACACGGACAGCAGCGAGCGCCCAGCCCTTCGCCACTGCCCACTCACCTGGGCCCGCAGATCCGAGATGCAGATGAATTTCTTTAGCACGTTCTTGGGAAGAATGTATGTATAGCCCGTTTCCTTTATATCGTCTGATGAAACGTAAATGTGGTTTGTTCGCAGGTGGAGGTTGGCAGCAGAAATCGCTCTGTGAAGAGGAGATGATTATTGGAGAGTGCACCAATCCCTTCCTGAGCCCTCAGACCTGTTCCACCACACCACGGCCCTGCCTGCTTCCCTACCTGACTCGCCACTCAGTCTTGGAGGAGAAAGTCTGGGTTTCGTAGTTGCTGGTTGTAGAGGTGATGATTTCATCACCGTGTTTGTTAACAGTGCGGGTCTGCGTGGCTGTCAGTTGTGACTGCTCCTTGGTTTGCTTCTCAATTTCTGCAATCTGCTGTCTCTGCTGAGATGGGGCAGAGATCTCCATGCCCAGGATAATGTCTCGGATCTCTGACTGTGTCAGGGACGCAACATTCACACTGAAAGAGAAAATCCACCCAAGTCAGGCATTTCAAAATACGTTCTGGACTCTTCTTACTAAGGTAGAAGCTCCGAACATCCACTCAGGGTGCTATGAGAAATAAAGCCACAACTTTTTAGACAAGAGGAAGGACTAAATCACGATATGCAGATCAGAAAGGTTTGTTGCAGACATTTTTATCTGCCTTACTAAAAAGCAATTAATAGCCAGTTTCACTACAAAGCTGACAGTTCATTGCCAAAGGCCCTTGAAAATCTTCTACTCTTCACAAGGAGCACTCTGGCCGTGCAGTCAGAGAAAGGAAGATTACTGCAGCTGGACAGTAGCTTACTTGTTCTTCTTGCCATAGTCAGCAAGGATGAGATCCTTCAGCTGCACCTCCACCTTGATCCACTCCTCATCTGTCAGGGTTGGCCAGATGTGGTGAGGCTCCGTTATGGTTGTCTTGTCTGGTTTCAGAATAACTTTGGCTCGATCATTATTCACATGCAGTGCCCGGAGAATCAGGATTAGACGAGAAAATGCCTTGGAAAAGAAAAAAAAAGATACAGCTAATCAGAAAGAAGGAAACCAAATATACGAGGCTCTAGTACAGCACTCCACTGTTTGGGCACGCTGACATTGCACAAGTGCCAGTGGAATCAATCTGAAGGAAAATCCAGGCAGACTCAGAGCCAAGGGCTCCCAAGCAACAAATTGGGATGGATTTCTGAAGCCTTGGCTCCCTTGGCAAAGCAAAATGCAGACGAGGCACGCTGTGCTTACTGTGTAGGAAGAGATGGTTTTCAGCCAGTCATCGTAGAGATTGAAGAGAACCATCTGGGGTTCAGTAGCCTTCAGGATGAGATCACCGAACTTTTCCACTTTCAGGCAGGCCTGGAAGGGCAGCTGCAACTCTGAGCCTTTGATCACAATATTGGGGAAATCCAGCAAGTGCACCTGGGGTTTATTGAGAAGAGGAATTAGCTCACAACTACTGCAGAACATTGGTTCAGATCAATTTGCAGGAACACAGGACTGTCCTGTAATCTCCCAAAGATTTTATATGTCCTCACAGAGCAGTATCTGCATTGTTACCTCAAGCGGGTCCAACATGCCTTTCCGAGTCACTATGATCTGCTTAGGCTGCTCCTCCACAGGGAGTGACCGAATCAAGGCAGCCACTTCTTCAGCAGTCTTCCACTTGGCCAGCTACAGAAAGACAGCAGGGTTAGAGAATTATCTCTCTGCCAACAGCAGCAATCTTCATGCCTTCAGGAGTGAAAGAGACTCGAACCAAATTCTAAAAATACAACTGGAATTTACGGCTTGTTCCACGTCAGTGACAAGGCTCAGCATTTCCTTTTTACTGATCACAGAGGGCGGTTCCCAATCCTGGAGTTGTTACCCCTGACCGCCTCCCTGGCTTTGCCACCTGAGAATCTTCCCACTGCACTGGATGTACAGCCAAGTGCAATGTGATTTGCTGTAACAGTGAGCACAGCACTGTTTCTCAAGCCCTGCTTGACAAGCTCTTTACACACCAGAGCCACCAAAACCTTGCAACATCAATGCCTGCAGTCTTTTTTTTTTACATCCCATGCTAACGCTTGCCTGAGCACAGGTTACACACTGGAAATTGGAACTCCAAACTTGTTGAGAGGCAGGAAGATGAAGACACTCATGATGTCTTCTGCTCAGGTGAGTCTCCCAAGCAGCCAGAGCAAACCCCCAGCTCACGGCCCAAAGCACAACAGGCAGCCAGGCCCTACCTGTCCCAGACGCTTCTGTCCTGCCCATACAGACGTATGGATGATCTTCAGGAAGAGCTGTCCAGTTCTGGGATTGAAGATGAAAATGGCTCCATTGATAGGTTTTGTGGTCAAATTCCCTTCAAAAGTCTGAGAAAACAAGCAAAAGCAAAAAGGGAGGTAAATGTAACCTATCCACACCTTCAGACAATAGTCACCTTGCTGTGTGCTTTGAGCAGGAACGGTAAGGGAAATGTAAGAGCTGCTCTGTGCAGACTCTGCACAGAGCTCTGCAACATGGACCCAAATTTTTGCTTCCAAGTCTTCCATCATGCATGCCTCCACAGACACCCTGAGCACAGGACATTTACAGTCCCTGTCCCTTCCCCCCGAGGTGCACTTCTGGCCTCACCTTGTGAATGGTCACTCTGTACACATTGGTGTCATCCACAAACCAGATGATCTGGTTGGAGAAGAGCTCTCCGTAGTTCTGGGAGGAAAGGTATGGCTCTGTGGGCTCAGAGGAGTACAGCTGCAACCCCTTGCGGATTCGTTCTCTCAACACATACAACGCAGGATTTGCTTTCATAATTTTGGCCATAGCCTGCTGGATCAGAGGTTTGCTCCCAGGGAACCAGTTCCCATAAGCACTGAAGAAGATAATAA